AACAGAAAAGAGAAGAGAAGAAAAAAGAAAGAAAAGAATAGAAAATAGAATATAGAATATAGAATATAGACTATAGAATAGAAGAACAGAAAAGAAAAGAGAAGAAAAAAGAATAGAGAATAGAATATAGACTATAGAATAGAAGAACAGAAAAGAGAAGAAAAAAAAGAATAGAGAATAGAGAACAGAATATAGACTATAGAATAGAATAGAAGAACAGAAAAGAAGAAAGAAAAAAAAAAGAATAGAGAATAGAATGGAATAGAATATAGAATATAGACTAGAATATACAATATAGAATAGGAATAGAAATGGAATAGAATAGAATGAGCTGGAAGGGACCTTGGAGGTCTTCTAGTCCACCCCCCTGCTCAAGCAGGAGAACCTATATACCATTTCAGATAAGTGACTTGGCTAGTTATGGGGTGGGCATTTAAAACTTGGGGTGCAGCTCTTCCCCCGGACCCAGAGGCTGTCCAAATCAAACACCCCCCCCCCCCCCCCCCTGCCCCCCCCCCCCCCCCCCCTCAGGGCCATGTATTCTAAACAGCATTTCTGGGCAAAGCAGCGGATCGATAAAAATTAAACATATCTTTGCACGTTAGTATTAATTTAAAAAATGCAGTCAAACGTAATCAGTGGGTTGCTGTCTTTATAGGGTTACGAGATGCATTGAAGGGTCAACCTACAGAGATTAGGATGGGGCCCCTGTGCTTTTGGGGCCCCCCGGGCAAGGGCCCATCAGGCCCATGTACCCCAACTGCCTTGTCCTCACTTCCGGGAAAATCTGGTTATTCAGCAACCAGCCCGGTGTAATCATTTATTTAATCCATGGTGAGGGTGTTGAAGTTGATCCTGTTGGCCTGGAATTTAAGGAGGTTTCTGGAGAAGCAGAAATAAAATCTAAGGCAGCAGCCAAACCCCAAATCCGTGTTTAGGAAACTTAAAATCAGCTTGGGTGCTTTAAAAAATTAAAAAAAAAAGGGGGTGATTTAGACTTTTCCAGGTAAATAACAACCAAACACTTCCTCTTATGAACTTAGAAAGGTTGCTGGCCCCAGGAAAGTGGGGTTTTTTTGTGTTTTTCTTTAGCAAAACCTGAATGCATGCAAGTTGTTTGGGGTGGCTGAATTTGGGGGAGCACCCTGGCCATGCCCAGATATCGCCTTGGCATCTTGGGACAGAGCCCCCAGGGCTCGCTTGGCATGTGTTAGCGGCTCTTGATCAAGAATTTTACCAGGTTAGGAAGCTGTTACCGTGCTGTGAAGAGAGAGAGAGAGAGAGAGAGAGACTAATCTGATACGCTGCTCTTAAGCATGGAGGTTCCATCGACCTACTCGAGAAGGCAGAAGCTTCCAAATTGCATGAAGAAAAGCCCGAATAGATTAAATGCATTCATTCATTTCTGCTTCTCCAGAAACCACCTTAATTTTAATCCCTTCACACTCTTCTTCGTACAATTTGGAAAGCTTTTGCTTTCCCGTGTAAGTCGGTGGAACCTCCATGCTTAAGAGCAGTATATCAGAAGAGTCTGAGTGGTCTCCTTGGGGTTGTTTGGAAGCATTTTCCTTCTTTCATTTCTTGAGTTTTGCCCTTTGCAAAAATGTCTCGTCCTCCTTTTTTCCCTTCCCTTTTTTCCTGTATATGTTTTATTTTTATTCATAAACATTTTGAATACCATGTATTGTCAGAACATATCACTTACAAGAAAGCAACAGAGAAACAAACAGAAGCCTCAACATATACTAGTAACAATAGTGTAACAAAATAATTTAATTAAATTTCTCTTTGTATTTAGCTTATTTATGATTCTGTTAATTATACCAACGTGTTTATAATTATCAACCCTCTTTGTATTTAATTCATACCTAGCAGCTATCTTTCTTCACCTAATTTCTACCTCTTTATCTCTAACCACTTGTAAAAACTGTTCCATAAGTTGATTAAAAGATTATATTGTTATTTACTAGGTGTTAAACTGGAAGAAGAACAAGTTAAAGAAACAATGACAGCATGAGCAAAAATTTTTGGATATGCTATAGCAGTGGTTGCCAACCGGTGGGCCGTGAGAAAATTTTGGTGGGCCACAGAGAAATTTCCCAAAGCAATTAATCCAGGCTGCGCAGAAACACAAGGCTGCACCGCCCACATGGCCCGCAGGAACCCTCCCTGCCCACTCACTCCTTACCCGGAAAAGTTGCCTGCTAAAATTGTTATTTTTCCTTTTTCCGACCATCATCTGTTCTGCTGTGCCGGGAGATTTAGATTAGCTAGGAAGCAGAAAATGGTTGGATTTCTTACTTTCTAGCTAACCTTTAGATCTTCGCCTCTGCTTCCCTTAGGACTGAAGGTTTGCTTGCAAGCAAATTCAGTGCAGACTCATGGCAAGCAAATGAGTTCCGAGTCCTCCTTGAAGCTCTCTGTACTTTATTTTTTTCCTTGTCCTTCGGTTGGTTTCTTTTATAATTAATTGGATACTTCTGTTCTTGGCAGCATTCCACAGAACTGGAAGGTGTGTGCTTATCTTGGGGGACTATGTTAAGATTAGTTCTGGCTGCGAATGAAAACAATTCCCCGTGTTGCAATAAAATAGGTTTTGCTTTTAAAACAAGTTTGTCATCAATTACGTTTGACGAAGCCTGGGTCAGAACAATAAGGGAAAAAGGAAATTAACTGTTATGTGTATCTCTATACTAAAGCTTGTATGGCCAAAATGATGGCCAAGAAAGTCGCATGGTGTTCAATTGTTTTTAATGTTTATTCAATTTTTTTTAAAAAAGTATTAAATATAATTGTCAGCACAAGATATATGTACCCAGTTGACACACGGTTGAAATGGAATGATTGCAAAATATAAAATTAAATATTAAAAACAAATCTGTTCCATGTTAAGTAATATTCTGTGTCTCCTTTTTCGCCCCCACCTCCTGCCCGCAGTTAAAATAGCCACAAAGGCCAATCCTTGGGATGGGAAAACCTTGAAGGCCCAGAGCGTCCGCTCGCAGCTGGAAGAGTCCCTTCAACGTCTACGGCTGCCGAGCGTGGATCTCTTCTACCTCCACGCCCCGGACCACGAAACCCCCGTGGAAGAAACGCTGCGGGCCTGCGACGAGCTTCACAAAGAGGTGGGGGGATTATTTGGGGGGACGGGGGGGTTTGGCTGCCTGAGGGTTGAGGAGAGGGCACCCCCTCCACCAGGCTAGATGCCCCTCTCCTCAATGCATGAGAGCGAGCTGGAGGGAATCCTCAGAGACCATCTAGCCTGACCCAGAGTGGCCGTGTGCACTCTTTTCTCCACACATGTTGGGTTACAAGGCCCCACGTTCCACAGCCAGAGGACTCCGTGGATTTGATTCCGAGGGCAATAGAAAAGAGAAAGAGAGAATTGGGGAATAGAAAGAGAAAGAGAAATAGAGAAAGAGAAAGAGAAGAGAAATAGAAGAGGAGAGGAGAGACAATAAAATGAAGAATAGAATAATGGAAATGGAAATAATGGAAACTTGGAATAGAATCATGGAAAATAGAATACAATTATGAAAAATAGAATAGAAATAGAATGGCATAAAATAGAATACAGAGTTGGAAGGGTCATCTAGTCCAACCCCCTGCCCAAGTGGGACACCCTATACTATTTCTGACAGAGGGGAGTCCAATCTCTTCTTGAAAGCCTCCAGGGATGAAGCTCCCACAACTTCCGAGGGCAACTTCTGTTCCATGGGTTGATTGTTCTCCCTGTCAGAAAGTTTCTCCTTATTTCCAGGTTGAATCTCTCCTGGATTAGTTTCCATCCATTATAATTCCTTGTCTGGCCTTCAGGTGCGTTGGAGAACAGCTTGACCCCCTTCCTCCTCTCTGTGGGGCATCCCCTCAAATATTGGAAGGCTGCTCTCCTGTCTCCCCTGGTCCTTCTCTTCCCTAGACTAGCCAGGCCCAGTTCCTGCAACCGTTCTTCATATGTTTTAGCCTCCAGTCACTCCCTCTTGCTCTCTTTCTCTCCCTCTTTCTTTCTTTCTCTCCTTCCTTCCTTTCTTTTTCTCTCTCTCCTCCCTCACTCTTTCTCTCCCTTTTGGTTCTTTCCTTTCTTTCTCTTTTTCTTTCCTTTTCTTTCTCTCCCTCTTCCTCCAAATACTGGAAGGCTGCTCTCCTGTCTCCCCTGGTCCTTCTCTTCCCTAGACTAGCCAGGCCCAGTCCTTACAACTGTTCTTTATATATTTTAGCCTCCAGTCTCCTAATCCTCTTGTTTGATGGCATGTGCGCAGATCCTTACAAATCCGGCCTAAAATGACGATTGATTTATCACTCCACAGGGGAAGTTCAAAGCGCTTGGCTTGTCCAACTACGCCTCCTGGGAGGTGGCAGAAATCTTCACCCTTTGCAAAGCCCACCAATGGCTGCTGCCAACGGTGTACCAGGTGAGCGAGGTCTGGTTTTGCCTTTAACCAGAGGGCCACTTTCCACCCGCGGCCGCGAAACGCTCCGAGCGATCCACTTTGCTTGTGCTGCTTTGGGCGAAAGACTTTTGAGTGAAGGTCTGAAAAGGAGTGTCGGCTTTCCAGCAAACCGCCACTCCAGCCAATAACTCCAAGACAGACATCTTCTCAAAAGTTCTTTTTATTTGGATAGTGACTTGAGACATCCTCTCACTTAGGCGCAACACGACATGACCTTGAATCAGAAAAAAAATGTTATGTCGAACTAGATATACTCCAATGAATTCCCCCCTCCCCTTTCCCAGGCTCAATTGTGGCAGCGTGGGAGCCTTGGATCTCAATATGGCTCCCCAAAGCTGACAAGGGTTTTTTGTTGTTGTTGTTGTTGTTTCTCTGTTTGAACCCAGGGCATGTACAATGCGACCACAAGGCAGGTGGAGAAGGAGCTGTTTCCTTGCCTCAGGCACTTCGGAATGAGCTTCTACGCTTACAATCCCCTGGCCGGTATGGAGTGGGAAGGAATTGTTTTTTAAAAAAACAAAACAAAATTGCAAGATGGGTGAAAGAATGCTGGGAAATGAGTGACTTTGTGGACGATCCTAAGACTCTGATGTTTCTTGAACAGGTGGGCTCCTGACAGGGAAATACAAGTACGAAGATAAAGACTTAAGCCAACCACCGACCGGCAGGTTTTTTGGGAATGACTGGGCCAGAGTCTACCGGGACCGGTGAGTCTCCACGCCAGTGGAAGGGACTAGCACCTTGAACCAGAAGAGAGGGAGTGAATGGAAATTGGCTCTTTGGTTGGAAAGGCTAATACAGATAGATTCGATCAAGGGTTCTTCAAACTTGGCAAGTTTAAGACTTTGTGGACTTCAACTCCCAGAATTCCTGAGCTAACATGACTGGAGGAGGATGGGAACACGTGACTCCAGGACACTGTGACTGTCATAAACATGAATCAGTTGCCACGTGTCTGAATTTTAATCCCGTGACCCTGGGGAAGGCTGCCACAGTCGCAAGTATGAAAAATGGTCATAAAATATCTTTTTCCAGCGCCGCTGTAACCTCGGTCACTAAATGAACTTTTGTAACTCGAGGACAGCTTAGATCCAGAAGTTTTTCATTGCTTGCCTTTCCGTTATTCTGTAAGGTATGACTGTCAGCGTTCCCGAAAATCTCCACTCCAACAAAAAAACTCCGAGACAGACATTGTCTCCAAAATTCTTTTTGATTTGAGTAGTAAACTGGCACGTCTGGGGAGTCCCGAATCGGGAAGTTCCGGGCTTCCTTGCAATAAGTAACAAAATTACAAATCCACCCCCTGCACCATCGCATCACATGCCCCAATCGCCATCCGTCCGAACTCGAGACGTCCTCTCACCCAGGTGCAGAGATAACATGACCTTGACTTAGAAGAAGAGTGCTATTATGTCTAACCACATGCGCTCCAAGAAATTCCCCCCTCCCATTTTCCCAGGCTCAAGAATGTGGCAGTGTGGTGCTAAAGCTGAAAAGTTACTTCCTTTCTGCTAAATTGTTTTCGTTCTGCTTTTCCTGCTTATTTAGGCCAGGCCGTTGGGTTGTTTTAAGTGGTAGGATATTAAGTGTTTTGTTTTGAAATAACTGCTCCAGGTATTGGAAGCAGCACCATTTTGAAGGAGTGTCCTTGATCCAAAGTGCCCTCCGTGAAGCATATGGTGCAAATCCTCCCACTTTGACCTCCGCTGCCCTGCGCTGGGTCTACCATCACTCAGAACTGCAGGTAAGGCCAAATACTGTTTTCCCCCAAAAAATAAGACCGTCTTATATATATTTTTTTTGCCACCAGAAAAGGCACCAGGTCTTATTTTCGGGAGATGTCATCCATTGACTAAACCCACTTGCGCATGTCACTCCCAGCCTCCTTTTTGCTGCCAGAGGCCTTCAGGAACTTCTCCTGCAGCCGGCGAGGCTTTCCTGAAGGCCTCTGCAGTGGATAACAGAGCTCAGGATCGATCCTGAGCTTTGTTATCGGCTACAGAGGCCTTCAGGAAAGCCTTGGCAGCTGCAGGAGAAATGGGCCGGCAAGGCAGGTGTCGGGGTGTGTGAGGCCTGGCTACAACTGTCCAAAGGTAAGTAGTAGGGCAACTCCACCACCATCCCCCAAGCTTAATTTTTACCCATGCACTCTGGAGTGGGCGGGATCTTAATTAGGGCTTATTTTAGGGATAGGGCTTATTTTGGGCGCATGTGTAAAATCAAGCTAGGCCTTACTTCTAGGATAGGTCGTATTTTCGGGGAAACGGTATTATCCTGGAGATAATATTAAAAAATGGGCCTCTGCTGTTGGTTTATGGAGATTCTCAGCCATCCGGGTCATGGCTGTCCCTAAGGTGCTTTTTCGAGAGGCAACTGGACTTTCTGTTTTTTCTTTGAAACACGCTGCGAACAGCCAAGGACGAAGCGAAAACAAGGCACCCCCTGAGGAGATGGCTGGAAATGATGGGCTGAGCCTCGCTGTCCTCCTTTCGCTCCCCCGGTGATGGACGGGCGATGAGGCCGCCCATGAACTGAGCTAGCCAGAGCAAACAAGGCCAGTTCAGGCCAACTGCTTTTGGCCAACTTCAACCAGTACAAGAGGTCCTTGGCGGTTGGCAACGTGATTCAAAGAAAAAAAGCAAGTAAGTTATATAGTTGCCTCTTGAAAAACCATCTTTGGGACATCTCTGAAGTTTTTAAGAACAAGCTTTCGGCCTTCATGGTTGCAAAAATCCGTCGGTCTTTAGGGTTGGCTTAACTTTTAACTCTTCTCTGTGGGGTAATGAAGGGATGCCTTCCATTTTCAACCCCAATCCTTCTCTTGACATGACTTTTACTCCTTTGATCTGGCCGCTGCTCGTGCAAGTTTTATTCTTCTCTTCCCTTCCGCAGGATAAATATGGAGACGCTGTGATTATTGGCATGTCCAACATGGACCAGTTGCAGGAAAATCTCCGTTCCAGCGAGGAGGGGCCTCTCGTCCCGAGCGTGGTGGAGGCATTTGAGAAAGCTTGGCACCTCACGGCGCATGACTGCCCCAACTACTTCCGCTGAAGGCGTGCCGGGGGGCGGAGGTGGGTCTCAATTCTTAGGGAAAGGGGAATTAAACAGGGCTTGCTGCAAGACACGAATCCTAATGTTGAATTATTGGTTCCACAAACTTTAAATCGGTTATAAAGACAACAAACATGCTGTAAGTTCTTTTATACATTTTTATAGACATATATATATATCTATATACACACATACCCTTTTAAAAAGTCATATTATGACAGTATCCTTAAATTATTAGTTCAGTCCTCCATTAAGAGGAGAGCAGTTATGAAACTGAGTTATGAGTTTTATGAGTTATGAAACTCATAAAAAAGCCAAGTCTATTGGTATTCCTTCTGCTCTAGTTTTCTTCATTACTTGCATCTTCCTCCTCCTCCTCTTCCTCCTCCATCTTGCTTGAAGGGTCCCCTGTGGGGGCCTCCAGCTGTTCAAATTCTCCCGTCTCAGCATCCCACATGCTCCTGATCACCACATTAAACTCGGCCATTGCGTATCCAAAAAGTTTCTGAAATTAAAAGCATCGACGTCTCACACACGGCACTCAGAACCGGAAAAATCGAATATGTGCGTGACGGTCATAAGGCAAAAGGGTCTTCAAAGTTGGCAAGTTTGAAGACTTGTGGACTTCAACTCCCAGAATTCCTGAGGTAACATGACTGGAGGAAGAGGAATTCTGGCAGTTGAAGTCCACAAGTCTTAAAAGTTTAGTTTAGTTTCTTGTCATTGCATCTCGTACAATGAAATCAAACACCTTCAGTGCACTTCATGACCATGAAAATAAACACACATCCTTCACACTCCACACACTGAATTGAAAACCCGCAACACTGCACCAAAATTGCATTATATACAATAGAATTCAACAGAGCTCCTGCCCTGGGATAGAAGCTGTTTTTCAGCCTATTTGTCCTTGTTTTTATTATCCTGCACCGTCTGCCAGATGGTCATAGTTCAAAAAAAGGGTTCCCAGGATGAGATGGATCTTTGAGAATGTTTTGAACTTTCTTAAGGCAGCGGGAGCCATAAAGCTCTTCCAAAGAGGGGAGAGGGCAACCAATGGTCTTCTGGGCAATGACATTCACCCTCTGGAGCGCTGTCCTATCTGCCACTGTGCAATTGGCAAACCATACACAGGTGCAGTAAGTTAAGATACTCTCTAGGGTGCAGCGGTAGAAGGTCACCGTAAGTTTTTAAGATCGCCAACCTTGAAGACCCCCGGTCTAAGGTACAGGAAAAAAACGGGAAACCCTCTACATTTCAGTAGAAACCGCTCACTGTGGCTGTCAGGAAAACTAACTTAAGCTTCAGGATCGAAGAACAAGGGAGACAAACCTCGGTAATAAGGTGGAATAAATGTTCAGGGTCTTCTTTGCACGATTAAATTGCAGAATTAGAAGAAAAAAGAAAACTCCCCACGGTATTTAAATAACAGCTATCTTTCATGCATGTTAAATCAAAATTTGCACTCAAGAGAGAGAGAGGTGTCGGTCTGGGAAAGTATTTTACAACTGTCTGTGAAGAAACGCAATGCGCTGGTAACTTAAATCTGGTGGAAACAGGAATGAAAAATTAGTTTCTGTTTCAGTTTCCAAGTTTCTGTTGCCATTCTCAAGTATCGTGGCGCAATGGGGTTGCGCATACAGGGGAATGTAATCATGGAAAATGAAGCTATGAAAGAAGGATCCTCTGCAGCCACTCACCAAGATGCGAGCTTGTTCTGGGGTGAGGATGTCCCCCTCTTTGCAAACCTCGTAATCAGAGAGAAGCGTCACTACACCTGGGAAAGGGAAGAAGAAGAAGAAGAAAAAAAATGAAGGGAGGTTGCCAGAGGAAAGAATCCTGCCAGTGTTTTTTCCAGGTTAGGTTCCCAACCTTTTTTTAGGGCGGTAGGCAATCCAAGCTGCCTCAGCTGAGGTTCCATGGAATGGGAAAACTTCTCCAGGGGTCCCATATCCAAATGGACTGCGAAGGTGGCCTTGTTTCCAGCCCGGGCAAAATCGGTCTCTCTGAATTGGGAAAACCAGCTGCAAAAGGAAAAAGAGAGGTGCGGAGTGGAAATTCATAGGGACTAGCAACTCTGTTCTTCACCTGGACAACCAGAGGCAAGGCGAGAAAGGTGAAGGAAGAAATACCTGTCATGCCCCCATCGGAGTCTGACTCCGAGGACGAACAGTGGACGGAGTGGGAGTGTGGCTCCGTTGGCTGTGGAGGAAACTGGGGAAGGGCAAAGTCAGGCTGGGCAGAGCAGGGGGAGAGGTAGAACAAGGGAGAGGGGGTTTGGAAGAAGACCAAAGCCCACCCCCTCTTCATCCTAGGGCACGCAGGGAAGAATGGAGAAGAGACCAACGTGGGTGTCGTGACTTACGAGGGAGGAGAGGGCCCTGATTCCCTTCACAAGGCACACCTGGGAAAGGAGCTTAAAGGAGAGGTAGTTGCAAGCTGTGTTTTCTGGGAAGAAACGTTGAGTTTATCAAAACGTTGGCTGCTGTTATCTGCGTTCCTGGAATCCTCCCAAATGGTTTGATTTATTGCCATGTTACCTCACTTCCGGATTTATTGCTTTGGTGGAGTTATAGGTTTTGGACTAGAATATTTGCAGCCAAAGGCTGTTGCAGGTTCCTGGGAGAGTTTTTCTCCAAACCAGAAGGTAACTGGGTCACTGGGGGCAAAACTGGAGCTAATAAAGGGATCCCTACTTATTATCTGGCTGGGTTGTCTTTGTACCGTGCCCTAGAGGTCATCACACTACCATTTTTTCAGCAAACTCTACAGGGACGGTGAATTCAGATGGCTGAAAACAGGATACAGGGCAACTGATTCTAACAACTAACTAGCAATACCGTAAAGAGGATAATCTCTTTTCTAGGTTGTAGATTTTATTTTGCTTCCGAGAGCAGAAAAGGCACAGTAATTCAGACTGAAATTCTGTGATTTGCCCCATTTGTCTTGGGGCTTAAAAAACGGTTACAGGGCAGCCCACGGGCTGGTTAAAAGGGCAAGGGATGCCAGGATGCAGCCCTTCTCAAAAAGCTTCCATTGAACGCTTCCACAATCCCCCCCCTTAAAAATACAGGTTTTCCTACCTTCCCCCCCCCTGAAAATACGACCTACCTCCAAAGTGAGTCCTAGCTTGATTTTTACACGTGCATCCAATATAAACCCTATCCCTAAAATAAGCCCTAAATAAGATACCACCCACTCCAGAGTGGATGGGTAAAAATTAAGCAAGGGTGGGAATGGAGGGGTGGAGCTGCCCCACTAGATACCTTTGGACAGTTGTAGCCAGGCCTCGCACACTCTGACACCTGCCTTGCTGGTCCATTTTTTCTGCAGCCGGCATGGCTGGCAAGGCTTTCCTGAAGGCCTCTGTAGCTGATGACAAAGCTCTGGACCGATCCAGAACTCAGTTATGGGCTCCAGAGGCCTTCAGGAAAGACCTTGCCAGCTGCAGAAGAGGAAATTCCTGAAGGTCTCTGACAGCAAAAAGGAAGCCAAGTGCAATGCGTGCAAGTGAGGTTAGTCAGTGGATGACGTCCACCGAAAATAAGACGTGGTGCCTTTTTTGGTGGCAAAAAAAGAAGAAGAAAAGACAGAGTTTCATTTTCGGGGAAACACAGTAGTTGAAATCTTCGGGTGTTCTTTCTGGAAAAAAACTTACTTTACAACTTCATCCTTCATGCGATTTGTGAAAAGGAGCCCAACTTCTCCCCGCAGATGCTTGCTGACCTAAAAAACCCCGAAGGATGAGGGGATTAAGTGACTTTTTCCAGGGTGGGGCTTCAGGATTCTGGGAGCCCAGGTGTGGGGGAAGGGCCTGCTTCCTAAAAGCAGGCCACAGGCAGGCGAAGGGAGGTAGTTTTTAAAAGTCTGGCGCTTTACCTCATGCAAGTTATCTTTGTATTCATCTGAAGGGCTGTGACCCAGGGCCACAATCATCACTTTGTTTTTCCCAAAAAATATCCTGGAATAAAAAGGAAAAGTAAATAAATTCCGGTGAAAATTCAAAAGCTCCACTATTCTCTCAAGGGGAGCATCGCCTTCCGTTTCTGCTTTTTCCTATTTAAATAAACGGAAGCTTTCCAGGCAAAGATCCAAATGGCGATAAGGAAGTCACCTGCTGTGTTTCCAAGCACTGCGGATATCCTTCAGTTTGTTGTTTCTCATGTTGGCAATGGAGAAAATGAAGAGACGCTTGTAGGTGTCCACGCATTTTCGTAGCTAAAGACAAAAAAAATAATAATAATTGGCAGTTGGTTTCGTTTTTGATTTTCGCACCCCGCATTTTCTATCTTGAGGAGGAAGTTTCACAGGCCCAAACGTCAGGATTTTCCCACAGAAGAGAAAAGTTAGATGACACCTGTTGAGGTAATTCCCCGTTAGGAGAATGAGCGCATACAGGGAGACGTATAGAGAGTAGTGTTAGAATAATACACACAGAGCACACAGATACACTGTACAGTAAATGTAGGTTTTTACTTCCAGAAAGGTTTAAGCAAAGTCCAAAATAAGCAATCCAAAGTCATTCACAGGTAAAATCAGTCAGTTTTTAATCCAGGGATAATCCAAATATCAAATTCCAGTGTCAAAAACAGTTCAGTAACAGACTTACATTAAATCCAGTAATATCAGTCAATTAGAAGAAATGGAGCATCGGCCATACTTTCCAACAGAAGGAAACAGAGATAACTCACTCATACTCTTCTGAGACTAAGACTAAAACAATCCAGGTTTCTGGCTCCATCTTATGGCTGTTTGAGAAACCACACCCAATTGCATGCTCTTGCATTCCCTTAAAGATATAGTACTAAAATGTTTATCCTGGTTTATATATTTCTAACCCAAACACCTGTTAGGTTACTTATATTCCTAACAACACCGCTATATAGCTACTTACAGTTACATTAATTTAATCCTCATATTGGTGAAGTTAACGGTCACCCTGCAAAACGACCCTTTTAAGCAGCTTTTAAATGAAATGACTGCTCGACAGCTGGCTTCCCACTTCGCTTACCTCTTCTATCAGCTTTTGCTTAACTTCCAAACCTTTCTTGGTGGTTTTAGTTAAGGAGACTGCAAGGAAGAAAGAGACGGGTTCAGTATTCCATAGGGAATGTTGTGGATTGTGGTTTCATTTGGCAATTGTACTGCGGCACAAGGACAACGGAGCAGACAGGGAATAGAAGGAAGGAAGGGGAGATGGTTTGGATGGATGGAAAGGAAGGAAGGAATGAAAAATAGGATGAATGGGAGGGAAGGAAGAAGAGATATAGATGGATGGGAAGGAAGGATGGAGAGATAGGAAGGAGCTGTAAAAATTGAATAATTTTTCAGGGAAGCAGCCCACTTGACTTTAAATATCTGCATTTCCCACCATGTTGTGAACTAGCAACTTCTATCAGCTCCAAAGTATTATCTCTTTTAAAAAGTCTCAATTTTCAGGATAAGCTGCAGAGCAGCCAGCAGATGTCTTTCAGGAGGCCCACCGATCTCGACCCAGGACCGCAATGAAGGGGGGGATCAATCCATTAATTCATTACCCTCCTTTGAGTTCATCCAGTCCACTTTCATGGCCCCAATGGAAATGGTAACGAGGAATTCAGTCATTTAAAAAAAAAATAGAGCTGGGAAAAAGCAAGTTGAACCGCTGATACTTTGCAGTACTACAACCCCCAGTAACTTCAGCCCACGAAAGAGATGGGAATTGGCACTACCTGTGCAACCGAAGGTTCCCCCACCCCCAAACTCTTGGGGTAGAAAATGACTAGAAGAAAAAGGCTACCCCCTCCTCACCCCATCAGCCCTCTCTTGGCGCTGGATGTTGTGTTGTGCAGCTTAGCCTACCTGGCAGGGTTGTTGTGCAAACAAATAAGCAAGTGAAGTTGTTGTGCAAAAAGCAAAGAGCGTCCCCGGCTTTCCCTTGGGGGGGGG